AGGTGTCACCACTAATTAGATGTTCCCAGCTTCAATTGTTGGTATATTCTGACTGCCACTGCTGTGAATTGTAAATAGCCTAATCACACTGCTAACATTGTGAATGTCTGGTGGTTTTAAGGAGGCAGAAGAAGGACTTCTCTCATTTTTTTAATTTTTGGTATGGATGGGAATTTGTTGGTGTTTACAGAGGCAGTGTGGAAAGGGAGCCTATTTTCTCCCCTCAAATGTTGTCCTGAATTAATAATTGCCTCAAGTTGAGTACTGTTCCTTACTTTGTTGGCTATGTAATTGGTAGCGTTGTGTGATATGAAATTGTTATCTGTAATGCACCTATCACTTTACACCCCGTCTTTGGTCTCTTTGTAGTCCATAGAGGTAATTTTCCAACTGTCAAATTAGCCATTTGCCTTTTTGAGTCAATATACCAAACATTTCTGTTTCTTTTCCCCCTTTAGGTATAATTTTGCAGCGTTTTTGATTTCAGCACAGTCATGCAAATTAGTACAATGAGAGAAATGCACACAAAAATGACTATCCATTAAGTTGTATTACTCATTTTCCCAGGATACAAATGCTGTTTTGGAATAATGTTGTGATTATTGGTGGTTTTGTGCTCTTGATGAAAGACTGTGTTAGATATAGTCTTCAGAATGGAGACTATTCATTCATCACTCATTCAATTTCATTGACTCAGCATTGAAATTAACATGATACTCTGGCACATAAACATCTGTGTTCATTGTGCAGATGGTATAGTGCGAACGCTTTGACGAGCAAGAGCAAAACAACACAACTATATAAAAGATGGCACAAAAGAAAAATGGCTTACAAGCAGCTGAGAATAGAGATTATGGGTCAGAATCCTACCAGGCAATTAAAAACACAAGTATGTAAAGCATGCTGCCTGATGTTGTCTGTGGGAAATGAAGTGAGGGGAAGAGCATGGACACACTGCCTTTGTGTTATAAACAAAGTGATAATACCATGGTTGTGCTTCACCTGCATTTAATGTCTGTGCAGGCAGCCAGATATGCTAATGCGACATGGATGTGAGGCGGGTGAACAATTGCTCAGCCAAGCCTTTCTCCCTTGGGGAGAGTGTGCTGCGGAGGGGTATTCTACTTCCTAGTTTTTGCAAACAGTTCTGCAGCCGGGTTGCAGTGAGCATTCTGAAATAGTGGGTAATTAAATGCAAAAATGGGATTAGCACAGTGCACTCTGTTCCCTGGTCCATGTGATTCTGACTACATAATGTGGGCCTGCTGAAGCCAGAGATGAAGAGAACAGCTGTGCAGCACTGCAGCGTAGATTAAATAAGATTAGGGAACGCAAATTTTAGCAAATAATTAAAGCCTACTACTTTTTTGATGGATTCCTCTAGCTTCTTGTCACTGCACTTTATTGTATCATGTGTACTGTATACACATGCTATTCAATAACAGTGTGTCCTGACAGAAGAAAATGGCAGAAATGGTAGGACACTTTTATGCTTAGGCTGCACTATCACAGCTGGAGCCTGGGTGTGTTGCTAACCTAGATCTACAGAAAAGCACACACTGACATTGTCCTTTTTTCTTCTATCACATTCAGCCCTAAATAACCTTCAGTGCAGAGGAGGACAAGAGTAATTTCGAATTAGCATGAATTTCATTTATTACAAACGTATTTCTTGTTGCACGTCAAAGACAGCAGGGCTTCTGAGTTACAAAGAAAACGTGAAATAGATATGACTGATAAGAGCTCTGTCTGAGCGTATCCTTCCAAGAAGGTTATCAACCCAAATGAAAGGTCGCCTCTAACTTCCTTGATTTAGATCGGAATGTTACTGACACAGTTTCTAATTGTAAAAGTCTGCTGTTTTAATATGGCAATAATGTACTACATGCTGGGTTCATCCAATACACTAAAAATTATGAGGTGGAAATCAGCCTTATCTCAGATTAGGCATTTTGATAAAATTACTTGTAGAGACTTATCTAAATCGCACACAGCTGGACCATGTAAACCACTTTCAGCACACTTTCACTTTCCACACTAGATGGCTTTCTGTGCTGCACTAGTGTTCGCTTTACACCAATATCTACAGTAATAAGATCAGTAGTCATTATTTGTGAATAGCAATGGTCATTCCTGACAAGCCTGGTATGAGGCCTGTGTCACATTCCTCTTCCTCCTGTGTTTTCTGTCACTCTTTTTCTATTTCACAGTCAAGTGATCAGGCTGGCAGATAACGGCAGTCTCACCTGGCTTTCCTTATTTTCCTCAGGACTAGAGATGCAATGATAGGATGACTCCCAAATTAGGAAAGCTCCACTGGGCAGGATACAGATGCACACTCCCCTCATCCATGAGCAAAAACCGCACAACCCCATGCAGTCCATTCTCACAAAGTTGAAGATCGACAAGGGATATTTGCTCCAATAGGTGAAAACAGAGCAGTAACAATGAATGTATGGCTATGAAAGGTGTGTGAAGAAATGTGCCGGCGAGAGGTCTGAAGTCATCAAAGCATATAATCAGTAGTCGAAATCCATGCTAGCAGTAATAGCCTTTGCCTTCTGGTTGATTGAATTTGAATGTGCCATAATGACTGCGTTTGGAAAGGCTTTCACAGTGCTTAATCACCTTGGATAAATGGAGTCTTTTAATGTAGAGGCAGGCATTTCAGTGGTTACAGCTGAAACATAAGAATTCTTGGTTAAATGGTAATAGTTGCTCTATATATGCTTTCAGAATGGATTAATAATACACATTACATATGGTTCATGAAAGGTATTCACCATTTGGACTTATTCACCTTCTACAACAGAACAACAGAAATTGGAGAAAGGTCCCAAACACTTTCTGGAGAAGTTCTAAAATAAGTTTTTGTGTTTTTTGCCTCTTGGTGGTGGCTGGAAAAATGGACCACTAATTAATTAGTCCCTGCCTCTGTCCTGTTTGAGAGCCAGTGTGCATCAAATAAACATGCAACTCTTTCTATAGAAATTATGCCACTTTTGTGCATAATCATCTTAAGCTGGACTTCCAGGTGACATAACACATATGCCCTCAAGTTCAAAATGTACTTTCAGGCCACAGGACGTCCTCAGCTCGTGGTCAGCAGTGACAGTGAACAGCTGACTGTGTTTCTAAACTTGGCTGCCTCAACGGAGTTCAGTTTTGTCCTGTTTTTACTGGTAACTAATCATTTCTGAGGTACTTTACAGCAGTCTGATGTAGGGTCTATATCATTTGATCAAGGTAAACAAAATTGACCACTGTGTGTAATGACTATGTGCTTTGTTTCTGAGCTTTTTAAATTAGAGGCTGCAGATGGAATCCGCTATATTGTTCTTCTTTGTTATTTTTAATGTCTACTCGTTTGGGAATATGTAATAAAAATGTTTATTAACATTTTGATGTTATTGCCACACATTTCTAACACATTCAACTGTGTGGTTTCTTGTGGAATCAACAACTTACAAACTAAGCGACATTGTGTGAAAACAAGGCAGTTTCCCAAAAGCCTTTAAGACTTGGAAAATCTTATCCCATTTTCTTACACCGGAATACGTTCATCATTGCCTTAGATGGTTTTTAGCCACGCTGGTGGCATGGCTCTTTGCAATACCGGTCAATTGGTCCACTACTCTGGTCCAGACTAAACTATCTATAACTATTAAATGGAATGCCATGATATTTTGTACAGACATTTCTGGTCAGAGGATGAATCCTAACTATATTGGGGATCCTTGGTTTTTGCTTTAGCTTCACCTGCACGTTGACATTTGTGATTTTGAGTGAATTAAATGATTGCCATGAAATTTTCATTCATGTTCCCCTCAGTATGAACTGTAATATCTTTGGTGATGCCTTAACTCTCCATATACTTACTAATTTGAAAAAAACAATGACATTCCTTTCAGTCTCAGCCCTACTTTGTGATTAGTGCTAATTAACAAATCTCCACATAATAACATGCTAAACTAAGACAGCAAACATGGTCAAAATTATACCTGTCTGAAACTAAACATCAGCTGCAGCCCAACTTTTAACCCGCTGCAAACAATGTGACCATTTGACACCAGTTTTAGCTTCCTTGCTCTTGCTGCCTGTTTCTTCTTGGGATTGATTTTAAAATTCTTCTAATTACTTTTAAGGACAGACATGAGCTAAAGGTCTAGGCAAAAAAACAAAAGAGACAGGGCCTCTGTGGTCAGGTCGCCTACACTCTGGGACAATCTACCAGTGGAGATCAGGTATGCAGAGTCTGTTACTGGTTTTTCTCACTTCTTAAGACTCATTTATACAAAAAAGCTTTCAGTGTGTGATGCGTATGTTATTTCTCCATTTTTTGTATATTGACTTGTTTTATTTATTGAATTCAAACCACTATTTAATTTATTTTCCTTTCAATTGTACATTGACTTCTTTTTAGCTTTATCTGTGTTTGATACTGTTTTACATTGATTGCTGCAGCACTTTCTTACCTTTTGAAATAAATACAAAAACCTTGGTTGTATTGAAAAGTGCTTTACTATTATATATTTTTATTATCGATCCATCCCAGCTGACATCGGGCGAAAGGCAGGGTACACACTGGACAGGTTGCCAGTCCATCACAGGGCCACACAAACAACCACTCACTCACATTTACACCTAGGGACAATTTAGAGCACAGTTTGTTTATAATTTAGAAGAGCTTTTTTCTATCATGCGTTTTCTTTGTGTGTGTTAAGTCCACTCTGTCTCAGTGTCTCCCTGTGAAATTCTATGAATATGATTCATAGCACTGGAGGCAAACAATTACTGTACACGCTAAGCTTCTCTGTAGGAATTGGAGAAGATTTGACAAAGAAACTTCAACCCCCGTGTGCCAAGGTCAATCTAAAACAGACTGAGCGGTACTTTCTGGAGGGCAATAGCACAGTGCTCTTTCCAATAAAAAGCTTGAATTAAAAACCCATTCAGGCAGCCACAATTGCATCCTCCCACGTTATCAGCTGCCTGATGTGATGAGTGACCCTGTGGTCATCACCCTGGCCACAGAGACCATCGATCCTGCCGTCGCGGTGGTCGGCAAAGGGAAGGCGGTGTTTCGGCTGGTACTGCTGTGTTTATTGCCATTGCATCCCTCAGAGGAGAGCTTTAATGAGCTATGAGGACAATAAAGCTCTGACATGCGCGCGCACACACACACACACACACACTACCAGGGGCAGGTGATCATATGAGTCACCAGAGAGAAGAAATCCTTTGTAGTCAATGGGTAATGAAGCTGAGGCATGGATCGAGTCAAGAGGCAGAGAGGCTAACTGTAAGTCTCTAGAATCCAGAAAATCAGTGGCCCGTTGAACTACAGTCCTTCGTTTGAGTGTGGGGGTTTGAAGTGGGGGATGTGGAGGTGAGGACTACATTTACAGCTGAGCTTTTTTAGTTTTGTTTTCTGTTAAAACTTTTGTGGTATAAATCTACCCATTAGACACATCAGCTCTCACTAATCAGACATTCAGAGGTAGGCAGACAAAATCAACACCACCATTACCATAAATTATCTATATTGATACATAATGATACAGCAGCTAAAATAATCAAACTGATGCTCATCAAATTTGCACTGTAGTGATTTAAAGTAAGATAAAAACAATTATATAGGGTAGTATAATTATACTACCATAGTTATTTTCAAGTCCTAGTCCCTTTTGTTTTCATTGTTGTTTTTGTTTTACACATTGTGACCAACAGCCCTATTGCTCGCTCTGTCGGCCAGTCGGTCGTACCACAAAAATGTTCCCACCCTTTGGCGGCCACAATTTTCCACCCCAGGAGGCTGATATTTGGCATGGAGATTAAGTGCTGTTCTGCTTATGCCAAATTGATAAAAGGGGCATGGCAAGTGGAGTGGCCCATCATATAAATTCTTAATAGCTTACATACCATTTTGCCACTCCCCCTTTAATACCTCACAAACTGTTTGTTGTAGACACTTGTAGAAGGCATCATTGAACTCCTTTTTCATTATTCATTATTAAGTTATAATATAGACTGCACCACCTTTCATAACTCTATCTTCTCTGTGTGTGTGTGTGAATACATGAACTTGTTTATGCATGCATATATGTGGTCCCAGCTACATCTACATCACCTTTACATCTGCAGCTCAGTTCACGTCTGGAGTAAAGAAAAAAAGGGAACATTTGTATTGATTTGTGGCCCATTTTGTGTTCCCACTTACTTACGCCAAAAAATTGCCAAGTGGTGATATGAGGTTATAGGGACTGAGATGAAACTCAGTTATTAGGTTTTGGTGTCTGTCCTACATCAGTAGCACTACATGGACCTATGGGCGAAATCAAAATAAAGTTAATTATTATGCAAACATCATGTGAAGAGACAGCTGGAAACAGATTGAAGAAAAGGCATCTTGTACTTTAAAATAGTGGGAAGGCTGTTGTCAGCTGTTGTACACTTTGGTTGCTACATTAGACGTAAAAATACTCTGCTTTGAATCAAATATTTAATTACCTCATGAAATAAATAAAAATTACATCCACTCCAGATTCAATCCAGAATCTGTGAATACGTACGTTGCCTATTGGACCTCGATTAGTTGTGTGTCACATCGTAAAGTGAGATTGAAGGTAAGCAAATGAATGTGAAAACAGCCTTCTAGTGTCAAAACTCTGTACATATATCATTCTGCACTGTGAAGATCAAACATCCAAGTGAAGGGTCAAGAAGAAAACATTTTGAATAGACGTGGTCTTTTAACAGAAATTTAGGGTTTAAAATCCTACTATTGTCACAATACACAAAAAATCTATCACCTATATCACAATCCTATGGTTGGTCTGCTTTGCGTTCGCACCACACATTAAATATTCCAGGCTTTGCTTGGGGGCAGGTTTCAGTGTTGTTGCTTGGTGTACAACAGAGTTTGAATTTCACAGCTTTCACACAAACACATCAGAGTTTGTCTGCACTAAACAGCTAAGGTGTAAAAGCAAAAGCTGAGAGGTCTTAACAAGAATTGGCTTTATCATTCATTTTGACAACATAGCTGCACATCATGACAACTAATGGTAGGTAATATAGCCCAGCACCCGCACATAACCAGTTTAATAATACATGGGACAGTTGTATTGGATATGGTATATTGCTAAATGAGAGAAATACTCTGACATTCATCATTTTCAATTTCAGATTGCTCATTGCTTTGAGTGCAGCTTGGTTACAGCCCAGTCTGGAGTATAATATATAATTAGGATGCCTTCAGCACCACGGTGTTGAAAATGCAGGCCAATGTTGAACCCGCAGACAGATGCAAACACAGAAGTTAATTCGAGGAGAAACAGGTGTTTCATTCAAACAATTTAAACATGGAAGTCAAGTTGATTGGAATATTTCACAATCACGGATGGAAACAGCAAAGTGATGTTGATTTATAAGGAGCAATTTGCTAAATACTTCCATTATAACACACTTGAGCACTATATAAAAAGGTTATTTAGGCAGATACGGATCGTTGCCATCATAATTAACCAATTAAGCATGTCTGAATAATTAATGAGCTGTGTTTTCTAAGCTTTGGTTAATTCCTTCACATGAATTAACAAGCATTAGGCTTTCGTGTGGGCCATGTGCACAAGCCAGATCATTTTGATGTGGAAGTTGTTGTGAATATTCATTTATTTATCAAAGGGATAAGTCAAAAAAAAGGTACAATGAGCTAATGTAAACAGGTTTATATACTTTGTTATGATGGATTTGTATCACCAGGTAAAACTGATTGATAAATGAAGACATACTGATGTCTTTTAGTTCCAAACATTTTTATGGACTTCTTTATGGATCTCAGAAATTCATCTAAACATACATATGACAATATTTTGATCAGAAAATGTAAACATCTTGATTAGGGGCCGGAACCAGGCCGGAGGGTGGCCACTTCAAGTCCAGCGTGGACCAGTCAGTATGCCAGGACTGGCAGCTAGAGATGTGCACAGCATGCTTGAGCAAGGCACCAAACTGCTTGGGGAGCCTTATGGTGCTTTCAGACCAAAAGCGAAGCGAGCGTTCGAGGCGGTGAGTTTACATACAAAGTAAATGCAAAGACGCGTAGAACAGCAATTTCCTGTCAGGCGACGCGAAGGGGCCATTGACGCGAAAACATTTGCGTGAGTTGAATATTTTCATATTTTACTTTACTAGTTTTTGGGATTTCAACGTTGATTTATCTTCACTGGAGCTTCTCAGCAGCTAGGTTCCGTGCACATCCGGTTCCAGTGTTGTTGTTAGCGTCGTTAGCTCTGTCGGACTACAACTTCATATTTATATAAAAAACGGACAAAACTGGACATTGCTGGGAGAAAAGAAAGGAGGTTGAACTACCTGGTGAGTTCAGAAAACATGTGTCTGTAACTTTATTCCAGCTGTCATTGTACTTTACTGTGACCAAGTTAGCATAGCATAGCCCTGATTGATCCAAACTCCATTCAGAAAACAAACACAAGTTGTTGTCCTGAAGTCTTGCTGACAGACCTGACAAAGCATGAATTCATGTTTAACAAATCTGCATCAGTTTAATCCGTTTATTGCTATTTAATCACAGCAAAATGTTTACTTTGGGTTCATACAGTTGTAGTAAAGGCGAGTTGTGTTTATTTAAGGAAAGCGTTCCAAGGTGAAAATTCGCCGTTGGTCTGAATGCGGCATTATTATGTGGCAGCCTCCTTGATGTGACATACAGTAGGTCCTGTTTGTGCATGTGTGTATTTCAGACTTGTGTGTGTAAAATAACAACAGACTGAAAAAATTCAATTTCAACTTGAGGGATTAAGTTTGTCTTCTTCTCTCTTCTTAAGAAATAAACAATAATTTTGTCTGCGTCCTTTCACAAATTACATATGGTTTAACAGGTGTTAATCTATGTGTGAAAGGATGAGACGATTCAATTTCCAACTAAAAGATAAGTCCCCACAATGTAACTGTATAAATGGACAACATGAGTAACACACACACATACCCCTAAGAAAAAACACCTATTATCAATTGAACTTATTTAACTTTTCTCTCTCTCTCTACTGGCTGGTTTGTAGCGTAATTAAATTTAGAATCCAAATGTTTTCCCTAAAAACACCTAAATCCTCTTAGTGTTTAATGAAATTCCCCCCGAGGAGTCAAGGGGTGTTTGATGTGACTCTGGTGTTAACATCACTACAATTGGACCTCTAATTAACAGCATTGCAAAATAAGCTCTAACATACAGTGGATTTACAGTGTATATAAAAAATGTCTGATAATTTTTCCTAAATTTTATTAACAATTATTAATAACACCCTCTTTTGTATCTAGCCTGTGCATTTAATGTGCAAATAGCCCTATTCATTTACAACGATTTCTCAACACAAAATTATTGTGTCATAACAAGAAGGAAATGACTAAAACTGAGCAGTAGCAGCACTGCTATCCAGATGAGAGTCATGCATTTGTGCTCCATTTGCCCACCATGCTGCAAGGACTTACTCTGTGGACTACACTACACAGGGGCTTGGCATTTTTCAAACCTAAAGTGAAAGGAAGATGACAGAAACTGATTGCTAAGTGCTTCTGAAACCTGTGTTCGTAGAGGGCCAGCTATGAGATAAAATATAATTTGCTGTTATGATTCCTAAAAATAGTAGCTAGTCAGCACTCCAACCACTTCAAACTGTTGTATGCCTACTGCTTTTGCACATTTGACAGGCAAGTAGAAACACTTTGGTGTGTGCCTGTTGTTAATATCCTCCTTATCATGTTCATCTTTGAAAGTTGGACTGGTTTGAGAGCTTGTCTTTGAGAATGTACATTGTTAGGTTTAGACACTGTAGGACAGGCTGAGTAGGTGACACCTATTATTTCATAAACACAATGTGCGCTGGAAGCGAGTGAACTGCTGAGTGTCAGGAAAATATATTGCTAACATCAGCACTACAGCCTAATATCCCCAAGAATTACATCCATATTGGATGATTCTGCGCCACAATTTAAGTTCACTGCCATTGTGCCTATATACAGTGTATATATACACAAACACACATACATACATACTGTACATTCACTACAT